TTTAAGATAAGTAATACAAATGATATTATTAAATAAATTTACTATAATTTAAGCGAGGTTTTATCAATATACAGTACTATTATAATATATTTTAACATATGCGATATAATATTATTAAGTAAATTTTGTAAGTATTATTAAATTATTATTTATTACATGAATGAATTTCAATAAAACCCATTTCTATAAGTAATTTACAAAATTTTCATTGTTTTTTGAAATGGGTATTAAAAAAAATCTAATGATTATCTCCCTTAGAAAAAACAATTATAATTTTGCTGTGCTGTAATATTTGATAAAAATCACCTACACTTTTGGTTCTCACATTAATTGTTCATATTTCTTAATAGATCTCGTTCAGCGAATTAATAGGATCACGATCACTTTTAACAGATTTGCTATTTAATTAAAAGAATTCCTATAGACGACGGTGACTAAAATATATTATACATCTGTGTATAAATTACATGAAAATGAATGGCGTATGGATGATATTCGGAAGAGAACTATGTGACAGGATGTGCGTGGAAGACACGGTAGAGATGTCGTCGTCAGCGGTGGAGCTCTCAATGACGGGAAGTCCTATAACGCCGCGCCGTGGGATATTAGCGGTTAATTAAGATATCTGCGACACAGTAATTAGTCGGCCATAATATCAAAACGGTTCATAATCACCAGACTTCCGGCTTTGTCTGCCGATAACCTCACAAACAAGAGCAGCGGTCGGTTAAATTAATTACTCGGCCAACGTTTTTGCCACGGGACAAGCGCGTTTATTGTACGCTCGTCGACTATAGTATATGATTATGAATCACTGTCTGTCACTATACTTAGGACTTACACTTGGCGAGTCCAAAGGTTCTCACTTTCACAAACTTGTGATGCACATTGATACGATAAAAACAAAAAATTGTCTCACGCGCGAAACGTAATATTGTTCACAGTGAAGTAATTATTATAGTTAAATGCCAGTATCCTGTGAATGGGCACAATACAAAGCAGACGGCAACGACCGACTGGGGTGTGATTTGATTTAATTATTTAAAGGACAGTAAAATAATATCGTTGCGAGTTTTCCCGGCTATGTCCCGGCCCGGAGCAGAGTGGGTACACGTGTAAAAGGAAACCGTATGAAATTGCTGGTCGGCACGCGAGTCGACGATTAGAAAAAGTGTTTCTCCTCCGGATGGTAGATAATAATAATTATAAGTTATAGCCGTTAAGTCTAAAGATTGAATTACAACAAAAATCGTTGAGCACAGCAATAATTTGCATAGAGGGCGAGAGCAAAACGGCTTAGCGCATCGTACCTATAACAGCTAAACAGTGTACCTGTATATTAAATTATTATAATAATATTTAATCGAATCGAAACGGTCGATGGTACATACGAATGCATATAACGTGGCCGCCGGCGTCGAAAAGTTAATTCAAGTGAACATACGTTTAAATAACAGTAAATTTTACAGACGAATTTGTACGAGATGATTTTGTAACGGATATTAATATTATTTTTATTTGTCGACATCACCGACAGTGTGAAAATCGCAAAAAAAATTAAACTTGAAAAGAATAATTAATAAGGAATGCCTAATAAAAACATTCAGAGATATTTACCAGAACTATAATAAGTTGATAACATCATTATAGTAGATAATAAATTAACTATCAATAACATATCAGTTATGTATGCGTTTCTTTTGGATTTTCATTTTTATTGCAAAATTTGTATTTTTATTGTTAGCATATCGGTTAAAAGACAACTGTACGATTCGTTAATGCCCAAATAGTTATTTTATGGAAAAAAATTAATACCCACGACTGCGTGCACCTCGAGTGGATTAATTTATTTAATCCCATTCCTACTCACCGACGCGGTATAAAGAGATTATAAAACAATTTTTTTTTAATTAAACCCAAGCAGAGTAGTCAATTTATTAACGAAAGCATACATTTTTCAATCATTAAAATATTATTAGGCATGTTAAGCTTCATTTCTCGATTTGAATTGAAAATTCAGTTATAAAGTCAAAGCGTAGACAGGGATTTTTTAAGAATAGCTCTTTTTTATCAATCTAAGTGGGTTGATAATTAGTATAAAAAAAAAATTGTTGTGAATCAATATTTAGTACCATTAAAATCTATAAAAAAAACATTTCTGAAGAGAGAAACAATCTTTATTTTAATTTTAAAGCAAACCTAAGGCGTTGCCAGTATGGCATAGCACATATATTTATTAGATGGTAGACTTGATATTGTGGTTCCAATGTGTTGTATAAAAGTCTAAAAAAGTATACAAATTTTATTTGAAACATAATTATATACAAGTTATACAAAATATATATTATCACGGATTGTATTTGTATAAATACTTAATTATGCTGTAATACTAATAATACTTAGTGACTCTGATTACTGTGCGGCAAATTATTTTGAAGTTTCTTTTTAACTCTAGTCGGTAAATAGTTATGCGAAAGTTAATAGATTTTTTTTTTATTTTAACGCTAGTCGCGGGTTCGTTTTTGATCAAAATCCTAATGGCTTAGGAAAATATTATAATACTATTTGTGTGTTAATGTTACTACAGAACTTCGCACTTATCCCGCATTGGTTTTTTATGGAAAATTCAAATTTAACCGACACCGCACAAACCGACCGCTGATAAATAAAACATTTAAAACTGATTTTTTTTTTTTATTCAAAATAGCGCATGAATTATGTATGTTGAATGCGATTGATTATAACTACAACGAAAAACCAGCCTGTGTGACTTTTGTTTGTCTTTCCGCATGAAATAATAATAATTGAGTAATAATTTCCGCGTTGATAATAATTGATAAAATATTGTATTAGGTCGAGCGTTGGATTGACTTTGGAGTTAGTATCCACACAACGAGTGACTTTTTAACCACGCGTTATGCGTTTTTTGGTAAAAAAATATGAATTGCATGTAAAAAATAATGCGAGATAAATAATAACGATAACGCGCAAACAAAAAAAAACCTTGACACATTTGTCAAAACCGCGGGAGTACTGCATTATTGAATTGACGAACCTATCGCATTAAGCGTTTATCATAACTATGTTCATTTTATCATGTTTATCATAAATATGTTATATAAAATACTTCAAACTTTGAAAGCCACTGCGGTACATGTCATATAATGTGTATTTTAATGTACAACATATTATTTTGAACACACAATAATAGCGTCCCTACTGTTTTGGGAAATAAAATCTATTGGGTATTTCGATGTGAACTCTATATTAAGCCAGTGATGATTTCAGACTAGGGTGGTCATTTTTTTTTACACATTTTCTCTACATCTTTATATAGCCGTCACCGGCGAGAAGACTAAATATATTATTCTATACCGCCGCGCCACTCTATTATTCATGACTACCGAAAATGTCAGAAACATAATTTGTGCAGTGCTTACTATGGTTTTAAATTAAAAGAAAAAAACTCCAGTATACAAGAAACGAATTTGTTTAGGTTACTTCAGAAAATAGAAACGTTTCAATACTCATAAGTCAAAAATATTTTACACACATCAAAACAACAACGAACATGAAGTGTCTATGAAAAATTTAAAACCAACAAATTGTACTAAAATAATTTTAAAAGATAAAATATTACCTAAATTCCTACTTTGGTACATTTTAAACTAAACTTGCCTAAATACAAATACATATTGTGATTTTTTTTAACATTGTGATTTTATAACGATTAAATATATAAAAAAAAATGGTGAATTACATTAAAATGTATAATATAATACTGTTATCCAAGTAGATTTATGAACAGTATAGCTTTATCGTAGGAACGCGCTTGTATAATGTATAATATATTGTTCTACCGACTGATCCTAATGCATTAATAAATGCTGATATTCCATATAATTCGAATGTACACAAAACAATTTTACTCCGTCACAGCGTTTCGGAATTAAACGATAAAATTTGCATTGCAAATTAAAAACAAACAAAACGTCTAGTAATTAATAATTTAGAATTGGTGTTTTGGCGTAGGTATCGAACACCAGTTGTTGTAAGTTATAAGTACATAATACTTGTCGAAGTGACGGCTGTAGTAAAATTTCGCAGAATTTAATAAACATTAATAAATACTTACGCTTAATATATATGTATATCAAATATGTTGCTGGAATGGTATTTATTTTGTTCAATGTTTTTTGCCAACTTAACCTAACCAACCCACCACATGACACAATATTATTGATGTCTTCTTTTGTACACAGCATCCTAACTCCTAATATTCTACAGTGCAGGTACTCAATCTTAGTAAAGAAACTTTACCCGTATGGCGTATAGGGTTATTAAATTATAACAAAATGGAGTTTCGTGAAATGCGTGGTAGGTATTCATGAAGCTTAGAGTGTATTTTAATAATGACTAAATGTTCGTTTAGTTATTTTACATAAAATTTGCTATAATAGTTTCTATTATAGGGTCTTTTGACTAGCTTTAAATATATATAGAGCTGGTTCAAAATCTTAATTGGGTCATTAAGGAATAAATATATTTTCATTAAAACAAATTGCACGCTTCTTTTAGTCATAAACAGTATAGATTCAATTTTGTAATTTAAAAAAATAATTGCTATAGAGTTATAAACAATAGTTTATAGTTTAAACTATCTAAGACAAAAAACGAGTAATTTAAGTCAATTTTTTAATTTATAAATGGAAAAGCTATTAATAAACTAAATAATTTGTATTTTTCATTATAATTATTTTGGCCACTGCGTTTTACCATTACGATACATACATTTTTTTTTTAAATTCTTGTTGAAAAATGTGACAACAATTTTTCGATATCATAATGTATCATAACTTTAACTTATTTGCTTGAAAAACAAAAATAAACATTTTTGACATCACTCCGCGCAATAACTAAGACAAAAAAATGTCTATTCGGTTCTTATGTTTATTTGGTGCTGGCTAGTGGTACAAAAAAAACCCCACGTGGGCAAGTACCTGAACGTGAGCGTCGTCAGTGGCCTGTAAGACTTGTGGCTATTTGGGTCGGCCATCGGGGTGCCCCAAAAATCGTTGACGGCCACGTGCGACAGCGGACTGGTGCCCAACACGTCGGCGTTCATCGTGATGGCCGGTATGTCGTCGTGCACGAAGTCACCACTCAGGCCGTTCCAGTAGCACAAGGTGACGGCCGCGGATATGGTCAGGTACACGGTGGCCGCGGCGTCCGACCATCCGTGTCGCCGACCGACGGCCTGGTGTTTGCGGCCACCGTTGTTGTTCTGATGGCGATGGTGGTGATGATGGTGATGGTGATGTTGCGGTGGCCACTTCATGGTAGTCGTTCGTCGTCCATCGGGCACATCAAGTCACGACGACACCGTCCATGTATGAAATAAAATAGGATTATCAAAATTTTTCTCCAACGACAAAATCTATAATATGCACTATTCTCGTAGAATTAATGTAAACATAAAATCATTTTTCAATTTTTTACTGCATTTTATTACAGACAGTGATATTTGCGCGAAACGAGTTCGGGGCACGTGCAACGTTTATGAACGCGGCGGAAAGAGTAACGGGACCGAACGTCGTCGTTAACGGACGTGGCACTGGTCGGACCATCGCGGAACTGACGCACCGCCGGCGATGGCCACACGAATTGGCGCGCACCCTATAACCTTAAGGTCCGTCCGTCGACAGAGGGCGAACCATCGGGCCGTCAAAAATCTACTCGGTTAAGTACACATACCTATTGCACAGAATAAATGAAATCAGAAAAGACAGTTTCAATGTAAACAAAAAAAAGGGCACGAACATGTTTAAACCTTCTATAATCATAATAAATTATATCTAAACGCAACAGCTAAAAATAATAATGTATAGATATAACATATTTTGTAGTGGTGGTGTAGATTGAAGAAGATGGCCACCGCGTTTTCGAGTGATAAGTATCTTCCCCGTGTTAATTGTTATCAGTCTCTGGGGTTGCTTATTCGACTCAACACAAATGATGGGTTATGTCTTGATAATTAGTAAAAAAATATTATGTTTCTATCGAGCGTAGAATAGATCCGTTTTACCTACGATGGACAGAAAGCCGCCGAAAAGTATTAAAGGGGAAATCTGGTATCTGTTTTTTAAAATCAAAATATTAAAACTAGTGTTGTAATAATTCTACCAAGAACTTAAATTTTTGGGTGTGCGTCAAAAGGAGTTCAGTCACTATTTTGTGAAAAATGTATTATGTACACAAAAAAGTTTTTTCACCGGTCGGCTAAAGTATACCAAGTCGTGGTTAGCGGGTTGTGCATTTTGCAAAATGTATCAAATAAACAGCACCAAAACAGCCCTTCTAATGGCATTAGCCCAATTATCGATCAAGTGGTCCCTAGAGAGCAAGTCGGGTCAATTTGATGGTGTACAGATCAAGTATCAGCCCTTACAACTGTGTTAGTTGATCTGACTGCTACTACAATATGGTCTGGCCAACGGGTCTCCTAACAAAACATATGGAGTTATTTCCTTGTCTATCACTATATTATACAACAAAGTACTCAGTAACCGTACGTTCATAGTTTATCTAGGAGGCACACACAGTAAAATATGATAATTGATCGATGGGTTACCCCGGGGATCAATCCTTGCACCGGCCTTGTTCTGTGTAGAGACATATGTGACTTACCAAACACAATAACACGAAAATGTATATACGCTGGTAATATCACACTGTTCAAAACAAAGTTCGAAACCACGGATTAAATACTAATAAAAAATTTAAGAACAATCTCAGAGTATCTACACAGAAGCTGACTCAAACCTAACTTATTGTTCGATAAAACTACGGCAACAACTTTTCATTTCAACACACCGTTACAATGAACGACAGCATTTTATTAGCATCAAAATATATGAAGATTATTAATACGTTATGTTCTTTGCTAACATGTTGTTATATCTACATTTATGGCTCAAGTAGTTCCGTTGTCGGACGGATGTCGAGGTAATTATAGTCTGTTCGGGATCTTAGTGGCCCCTAAGGAGGAAGGTTAATCCCACCGAGTGGAACAATGTGTGTATAATTTCTAACTGATTTTGGCTGACGAAAATTGCATTAAATCAGATTGTGTGTAGTGGCACGCGTTCGTGGTGCTATATGTTATACAATAAGCCCCGGTGGTGGACTACTGTTCATAACTACATTATGCGTCTAAAAGGCTATAAGATAAATTACAATACGTGTAGTTTTTGAGAACCAATTAACTAGGATTAAATTAAAATTACAAAAAAATGACTGTTTGAATTAAACTGTACACATAAGTAATGACATTTGAGAATAAAGAGTTGATAACAAAGTTGTTAGTAACAAAGAGTTGATATAAAAATACAATAGTACATATTATGTATTTGTACTATTGTTTTTTTTTTAAATAATTATTTTCTCTTTATTTCCTATAAAAGCCTTAAAACGGATCTATAAAATAATACTTTTTGTTTTACAACTATACATTTTTTAATTAAAAAAAAGAAATATGTATTTTGTTTAAAGTTATTATATTTTGTAAAAGGGATAGATACCGATCTATTCGTAGTATGTAATTATTTTCTATATATTTTGTATAGGAGTATCCTGCGTTATTCCACTTCGAAGAGTATTAATAGTAACAGAATATACCTATACCGATATAATTGAACAGCGTTATTAACCGGGACTACACATACCTAGACGTTGTTAGACTGATAATTATCATTGTAAAAAGTAGGTACATACGTGATGACTATAATTTTGAATGAATAATTTAGTAATGAATACTTAAAATATGAAAGCCGTACTATTCCCACTGCTTATGGAACGAACTCCTATTTTTAATTATATATTTTGTGCAGTTGAGAACTTTACACCGGTCTGTAAAGGATGCATTTTTAATAATAGAACCCATTATAAATTCACCGGTAGTAAAAACAAAAAGGCTTTTCTAATAAACAATAGTCCACAATACTAATTACAATTATTACTGTGGATAAAATATATTATAAGAAGTGAAATAGTACTTGTTTGACTTAACTTTTAGTCGATTAAGAATACTCAATGATATAAAACGGGCTGTGGAAATCGGAGAGCGCTAACGTGAAGATTCGATCAAGTAAGCCAGGTGGCCTGTGTAGGCAGTTGTCTACTTATTTTTATGTTATTATGTTTACAACTCGAATTCAAAATTCTCCAATTGTCGAAAAACAAAGATCGATACAATAATAATGTCAACGTTGTACAATTATATATTATGTTTAATATGAGATCAGGCTATGCAGGGGCCCTTGTGCACGCAGAGTTTGGGGGCCTTTTAAGAAAAACCAAACAAAAACGTAATGCTGTAAATTGTATTATGCGCGGCCCTCATCAGGCTGGAATTTATGTGGGAGCCATCTTGCCCTTAGGGTAAAAACGGAACTGTATGAGGCCTGTATGTTTTTTGTAATTCTTACAAGACTATAAAAAACCTATTATTGTTATAACAGATAACTTTACACTGAAAAAGACAATGTGAACTTTGGTATTTTATCTTGAATGTATAATAGAATACCTTCAACGGTAAGCAGCACTTTTATCGAACCAATTCGTTGTTAAATAATAAATTATGTGTAAATTCCCCTTCTCCTCCGATACACCACCGGTTATTTACTTGAGATTGTAGTAGTTTTACAGTAACGAGAACATTAGCCCTCTCGTAGACATCAAATAATTAGAACAGGCAACAGCCAAAAACGTTGTTTGCTCAAAACTATCTTTATTGTGTGCAACACATATAACGTTTTCCGAGTAGCTGAAACTTTTCGAGCGGCCGACGGTGTTCACATATACAGTTTTAAATAATTGACTAGAGTTCAAATTCTAAGAAACTGTATTAGCAGACTACAGTTTCATAGAAGTAAAGAAAGTTTAAATTTACCAATACGTGTATATATTTCATAAACAAGCCATTATGATGTAATTAATGTTTCGGAAATAAGGTCAAATATTGAAGTGTAGAAAAAAATTGGACAAGAAAAAAGATAAGGTATTTTTTACCTATATTATTTTTGTTTTGAAACTTGATTTTTATAAATGAAAACAAAAAGTTAATATTATACATTTTTCGCAGCATCATAAAAAATACAACAACAAATATAATTATTTTTACGAAATTCAATATTGTTACCTGTTGATATTAACTTATTGAATTTTTTGTTGATACTTGTTTTTTTCCCGGTGATCAATTAAACGTAAACCAAGTTATTTTCCGGAAACAAACATATTGAAAAAAGTTATGGAAATGTACCCCTTTTACTTAAAAATAAAGAAACATACCATAACGTAAGCGTGTTTACCCATTTTCAATTTAAAAATACGCTATAACTTTTTTGAAACTAGTAAAGTAATTTTCGAATTCGAAGGAGATATTTCTCACATATAAAACTACAACCGAAAGCCAACAAAATATCACCAAACCTTTCACCTAAAAGTGGTTAAAACTTTTCTTCATTTAGATTTTTTCCAAGTATTTTTCGTATAATTTTGCAAAATTCTAATATTTTTACCATCTACAGTTTCGAAGTTTTATTTTTTCAAGTGATTTTTATCATTTTTAACTATAACACTAGCCGAAGACTTGCGACTTCCCACCGTCCTCGCTGTGTATCGTTTACTTTGGTGTTTTTTTTTATATGTTTAAAGTGTACAACACAACAGTACTTGTTTTACCAACCAGACAAAGTTTCTACGCGCCGACACCTGTGTTTATTAGTCGACCCTTTTGAATTAGGAGCGAATAAATAAAGGAGTGCGGCCAATAAATGAAGACGGATCTGCGGGTCGAGTGGAAACAATGAGACCGATGGCGGTGGAGAAGAGATCGCATATATAACATTATAACAGCGGGTCGTTGCAAATGTTCGGCGTTGGTTGTGTTGGTGGACACCGTAGCAATATACAGCCGTAGTGGCGGTACAACAACCAAGTTATCGTTTTGCACCGTCCTCAAAAGCTTTTCGCTATCAAATACATATATATATATATATATATACTTGCCGTGTACACAACAGTGCTTGTATCCGTTGTATATATTACATAATATGTACTATGTGTTTGTGTGTACACGAGTACGGTTATAATAATATGCGAAGCGCACAATATGCGATCATCAAATATTTACGCCGGCCAACTGCCGCGAGAGAGGAGAATATTAGAGAAAATTACTGAAGAACATCAACGGTGGTGCATTCGCGAAAACCCGATACGTACACATGTTCAAGAAACGGCTTTGAGTCCGACATCGTGTTTCTTTTGCAACATGCAAGCGCAAGTTGGGCAATGACACCGAACACGTGCCTATTGTCGTTATTGTGAAAAATTTAAAACGAAATCATTCGCTTGAACCGACTAAATATAACGTGTGAGCATATTACACATACATCCACACATTAATCGTACATTATTCCGAAGGTTGTTACTTTTAATGCGATGCAAAATAATTATATCTGAAAATAACGAATCTGCTGTTTGATATTTTTCTCTTTAAATACAACCGCGTTTTATTGTTATTTATCGAGGTTTTGACTTCTGCGCTGTCATTTGGCTATTGGTCTATAATTTACAAAATATTAACAATTCGTTTACTTAGAATGCTTTTGACAAAATGTTATTTATTATTAGGTAATAATTTAGTGTTATTTGCTTCATTAATAGATCAGTGTTACTTCGACTAACCTATTAGTTGAGAACCAATCACTTTTATAGAATTTGTGTCGTGAATATTTTTTTTTTTTTTGGTTCACTTTGTGGTGTTCGGTTTTGAAGTACATCTAATCTTTTGCTTCTTTTATAACTTACAATCTCAGTCACTCTACTTGTGAATTGGAGGATTGCATTAATATTGTATGTCTTTTATTAGAATAGGGTAGGTAATGGATTTAATTTCCTGGAAGTGAAAGGGAAATCTGTGCCTTCAGCCTTCTTGAAAACGTACAATGTGCTGACTAAACATATCTTAAAAATTGACTAGAACCTTTTGAGATTTCACGGTATTCCAAAATGTCGAAAACCAATGATGAAGATGTATAATACCTGTCAACTATAAACTTATTAATACTTGACGATAAGTCAAGGCGATTAAACATTTATTGTTCTTTGTTTATAAGTTATATTACCCTTACAATGGTATTGGTGAAATCCTAATAAATAAATTGTTGGAATAACTAAATAAATAGTTTTTTTAACTAATCATTTAGTTGGTCGATTTATTTAATAATTTCTGTAATTTTAGTTAACCCAAGCATATATTTTTTCAGATTATTGACTTGGCTGCTTTGTAGTTGTGATTTTTTTTTTATTAACTCCAAAAAATGTTTTAACAAATAATACAAATAACAAGACCTAAAACAAAAGCGTTTTTTTTTTATTTACATAACATTCTTTTTAGTTTTTAATTGGTCGAACAATTTTATAAATTTCTTTTGAAATATACAAAAAGAGTGCGTATATGAGCAGATAATATATTTTTTAAGAAAATTAGCAATTTTTAAAGCTCTGTAACCTAAATTACTTAATGTACACCTAAGCAGACTGATGTAATATAAATAAATGAGATCTTATTATTAGTTAACAATTTGTATACCTCGTTTAGTACTATAGAATCACTTTTATTGCGATATGCACTTGTACACATATACTACCTATAAATAATGTGTCAGTATTCACTGTTCAATTATAATTCGTACATTGAATCTTGGAGGAAGAGATACAGAATATACGCATTGTCGCATTCCAATCAACATAATAAAATACATTTCTACTAATAATAAACATGACAAGCAATACGGTTCTTCCGTAGCGATCCATATTTTTCTCTCTTCTTATAATGTTGCCGAACGATATAAGTTAACGTTATCAAACAAGAGCCAATTTTAAACAAAAGTTTAGGTATTTCGTTATTTTCATAAATAGCATGTAACTATTTTCTTGTCCTGAGTTGAAGCGTTTGACGGTATTATATAATAATTACCGTTACTTAAATGAGTATATGTATAAATGTATATATATATGAAATCAATAACAACATAAACGTATATTATTATATTTTGATAAAAAAAAAACGTTTTAATGGAAAAAAATGCATACAAACAGTGAACGAGATTACAACATCAACAATCGCAGGAACTGTGTTCTAAGCAGAAACCGGTACAGACGCTGGCAGAGGAAATCCTTCAACGTGGAAACCATCCTTGCCGGCTCTGTAGTTCATTTTCACCTCGACGCCCTCGGGAGTGATAAACGAGTAGCTTCCTTTCTGTTCCATGACGTAGCCGGTGCCTTCGTCGTTCACCACCAGAGCTCCTTGTTTCGCTTGGGTGATACCGTCGGCACTCTTGTACCTGAAAGTCAAAAGAAAATCGGTCGATTACCATATTATAATCTGTCTACAGACTCGACGAGCGTCGTTTGAACTCACAGCAGAGAGAATTGACCGGCATCGTCTCGGATGTGGTCGTTTTGGATAAACGGCACCGATGCGGCTGGCGAGGGTGCGGCAGAGCAGAGGCCGGCCAACACAACGGAAACAGCTAAAAACTGTAAAAAAACAAAACATACATAGTATTGTATTTTCGTAAGAACAAGCCTTTCGGTTGGTAACACAACTAAATAGGCATAAACACTTACGGCGAACATGTTGCAAGTTGAATTTTCGGTCGGTGTATTAAGACGTGTATGCGCTGTCGGTGGCTAACAACTGTTGACTGACTACCTAACGCGGCACTTGGCCTTTTTATTTAAAAAAAAACAATTTAACTATTTATTAAAACATATATTATACTCCTTTTTGCGGTACCTGCACTTAAAAAATCATTAGTAACAATATTATATTGTAGGAATTTAAACAATTCGTAGGTAATCTAGTTAGTGGAGGCATTTCTGTTGGGAAGAATCCAGGCTTGTGCAACTGTACTGTTTAATGTAACCATATACATATTAACTAAGGTCATTTAATGTTGCAATCGTATAGACTTTTAGGTACCTCTGTAAACGGTAGTGTATAAAATACTATACATCGTCACCCGTAGGTCTTTTTTGTGGTAAATATAGATATTTAGTGAACAATAGTGTTATAAAAATTGTTCCAACGATTTATTTTTACCTATTATTTAACAAATAGGGCCACAAATTAAAAAACACAAGGTTTTCCTAAAATAGTCAATCTCTTTTAAAAGGGTTTACATATTTTTTTAATAATAAAAAATGTAATAAAATCTTTGGAACAAACACGTAACAGCAGATAATAATACTATATTCCACCTTTCCTCCTGCCCTAAGCTTAAAACTTCAAGAACTTCAAAAATAGTTATTCATTTTGTAGAAAATTGAAATCACATTATATAAAAACAATATAAAAATTCAATTATAAATTAAACCTAATGAGATATTGAGTGGTTCACAATAAAATGATCATCCTGTATACCTTAAACGTCTGTAATAAAACAATTTTTTAATATGGAAAATTCTTAACAAAAAAACATTGCCCAGGTTAATTATTACCGATGCGTCAAAAATAAATTATAATTCAAATTATTGTTATCTATGACCCGTAACGCGTTATGCAAGATTAATTTCATCAAGTCTTAAAAAAACCTCCGAGACATTTATTACACAGTACACTCGACATCACCTTTGAACCCTTTGTTTGCCCACCCCGATTAAAAATCGTAATTCTTATATATTTCCCGTAGAAAGCAGTTTATAACGCTTTCAAGTTTTAATTAACGCCTAACCATGTTTACTTATTTCGTTGCCTCAGTGTTCTCGTTTAATCGCTCGTCTTAAATTACATTAACCTTTTTATGGGAACGACAAAGGCGCCGGAAGAGCCCTTAAAATATTTTTCCCGTAATTAAAACGGCCCAATCCAATGCGTTTCCAGTATCAAAACCGTTTTTCTGCTCTCAGAACGGATCTACGACCGTGCAATTATTTCTCACCGAATTACATATTAAGCTTAATCGGACTGGAATAATTTATATCGCTAAATGATATACAACCGCGGCACTGTAAAACACAACGAAACTCGGGGAAACACATGTAAGCATTTATAACAGTTAGTTTGCTTATCAATACCCAGAACCGTACGCTAAGCCGTTGTATATTTTACCTGTATACCTGGTACCTGTACCAAGAGATTCGGTTAAAATTCTTTTTACTCGATGGAGCAAAGCACGTTACCCAAACGAAACGTAAATAGTGCGTAAAATGCACATTTTTTAAAAATAAGATCTGTTGTGTTTTGATAAATTTTGTGTTAAAAATGGTCAAGTTGGTTTTATCCTGTTCCTCCGTCGGAGTCGTAAATTTAAATAATGACAATTCACAAGTGTGAAGCACATGATGAGCTGTGTGTTCATCGAACAACGCTTATTGAATTTAATTGGTTTATTATGTACTACTACAGTGATTTGAACGGTACAGACGGATCGTTTAAAGTACTCGGACACAATATTGTGTATAGTCTATATTCGATCATACGAGTATATTATTATTAATATCAGCAGATGTAACGATGGCAATTTTCACAAAGGCGGTAACGTGAAATCAAATGCAGTTACACTCATTTGACACAACAATATCCGCTTTCCATTCGTCCGGCAGGTACCTAATTCGTCCATTCACTGGCCGACAGTATTGCTGGCAATTGATGTGTTCACCATCATATTTTACCTTTATAATATAATATAATATATATATTCCACCGGAAGGTACTATCGAATAATTACTGTATATTAAAAAACGTCGGTGCGTCACAAATTTTGTATTTTCCGCACAGAGAACAATAGGAAGAGCAAAAAAAAGAAAACATTTCCGCTTGGGCAAGACTGTTCAGTACACATCACCCTCGTGTATCTACCTCTTTTACATTATCCCTTTGCCCCCTCCCAAAAAAAAAAAAAACCTTAGCGTTAAATATTTTCCACGTCAAGACACCCGTTGATGTTGACGGGTTTTTCAACCTTTTTTCTTTTTTCGCTGTATATATATATATGTCTAGTTGCCGCTATCGTATAACGCTATTGTTCTACGGCGAGACAAATACCTCACAGACATATTGTGTGATAATTTAAAAGAAAGTCGAAGCTTAGCGTTTTTCCAAAACCACCTGACCCCGAAACGAACGCGACAAAAAATGCATACTTGAATAAAACGAAAAAAATTCTTTATAATGCATACGTTACTTTTAAGTACATACCGGTTCACGGCGTATCTGAACCAGCTTAAAACAAACTAAAAAAGCACTCGAGTATTTTATCATCCTCGAAAATAGTGTAGAAATACATTTTCAATAAAATCGGTAGAGTCGTTGTCCATAACATTGCTTTTAAGGATTAAATATAGTTATTTTATTGTTTAAATACAAATCTGTTTAGTTCGAATATTTTTTATAACTTTTTTTGTATTCGAGTAATGAACTGGGCAACATAATAAGAAACAATTACTATTTCAAAGTACATTTCGTCAAATACATTTTGTAAATCTAATTCTACTTGAGGAAATATAGCAAGTAGGTGACAAATTTTTAATTTACAACATTAGGCAAATAAATAATATTTAATCAATTCATTTTTATGATTAAATAAACCTTGATTTATAAAAAAAAAATTTTAAATAATAAAAAACGACCCTTTGCCCTTAAAAACTACTTATAATGAGAACGGTTCCTCCGTTTTTGCTTAAATCGTATTTTGAGGTCCTAAAATAAACTGATAAGCAAAAATTAGAGTGCTTTTTTAGTTTGTTTAAAGTTTGCTTAGACACACAGTAAATAGTTTGATTTTGTTTCCATTCTATGTATACTGTAGAGTATAATAGTTAAATAATGCAAACAGCAAACGTGTAGCAGTATCTGCCTATCGCATGCTTGATATTATATATTACACGTGGAAAAATGACTTTAGTGCGTCATTTATGTATTTTCGGTTATTAAGACAGTATTTTACAAAGAAAAATATCTTTAACAATTCCGCCCTTGAAAATATTATATCGAATAATAATTTATAGACTATTTTTTATGATGCATATTTTTATGTGTCTAGTGATTTAAGCGGTCGATTTACATTTAAACGTGGCTGGATGTTGGCCATATTACACACATAATATTATAGTAACGTTGTGGTACTGTTGTATAATTTTTAAATAAATCGTCTAGCGCCAAATCAATGTAAATAAACGACTTGATATAAAAAGTTTAAGATATATTTTGCACAGGAAAGGCGTAACCCGATATGATCTGATTCGATTATAAATACACTTATTGCCTTGCTCCTCTATTGTATGTCTGTTTTAGTTAAAGGAAAAAAAATATACTTAATGTCCAGTTTATGTTATATACATATTAAACAACATAACGTTATAATATTATTTAGGGTAAATCCATCAAAACATTTTTGTTTTTGTAAAATAATACTTAATTGATTTTTAAATTATTATGTCACTGTCGTAGAAAATAAATAAAATATACAAATGTATATATTTTAATTATTTTCCATTCTATAGTTGCCCGATTTTAACATTAATATATTAGCCGTTTGTCTCGAAAGCAATCAAATGTTACGTAAGACAATTTTTTTTTCTCAAGTCGACGAGTTATTAAACTAGAAAATTTAAGGTTTTTTTTTCGCAAAATAAAATTTGTCTGAATGAAACTTACTTTATGTCATTAAGAATTACTAACTAAGGTAATTATTGACAGCATCTTTTGAGTAGAAAACCATCTCAAATAACAAATTGATAGATGTTATGAAAATAATGATTATTTAAGCTTTCCTAGATTGGGCTAGAAGTATCTTGTGAAGGTCAGCATGTCTTTTCCAAGAACGATATAATTCAAATAATATTTTGTATTAATACATACCAGTTTAATTACCCTAATTAGCGCAACTAAATGCACAAGGAGATCTTTCATCATAATATATCTTTGTGACCAAAAAGCAAGAGTACAATAAATATTTGCGGTTCACTGTCAATTTTTGTTCGGATATATGTATACTATTATTATATTTTCATACTTTGATGTACTAGAGGGATTTCCAAATCCTTGTAGAACACACCCTGCGCGTATGATATGTAGGTTTCGATTTGACCGAATGTACTTTTGGGTTGTTCGAACTGACTTTCTAGACAGACATCACATTCAATAAAATATTACTACTCTCGGTAGTCGAGAGTCAAGGGGCCCAAATGAAAATCTTGTTCGGCGCGTTGTCCCGAGTTGTTTTTCGAGATTTCTAACAACAATAAATATATATGTAATATAACATCACCGCACGTGACTTTTATTACATACTCGATTTTATGTGAACCGACGTAACGGCCAAACTCGATGTCTAGCACGAATGACGTATAACCTTATATAATATATTGTGGTTCGTGTATCAATAGCGAAAACAATGATGGAATATTCGCAGGAGTGTCTTGAAGGAGTTCGCTCGCAGTGACCGAGCAAAGCCACAAAAATTTCTCAAACTAGTACATTGGACTAACAATAATTAATCCGGATTCGTTTGTTTGTTTAAATAAAATAATAATAATAGCCACAAAACCGCAACTTTTGATGGTGTTTTTTTTTTAGTATTATTTAATTTTTTTTGTCATATCTGTTTTTATGTTTATAAGTTCGCGTTATTACT